GTACTCTTGTTTCTTTGGCATACTTTGCAATTGCGGACATACTCTATGTAGTCAACTTTCATTCCTGGCCAAGTGTACACATGCATCAGATTGGCTAGTCTTTTGCCAACCGAAATGTCCCTCTGTGTCGTGGCATTCCCCCAGGATCAAACTGCAGATCTCCTCGCTGTTAGGAACGCACAGACGGTCTACTACATTAGTCTTCTCAAATAACAACCCCTTTGTAGTACGGTAATCTGGTTCGATCTCTGAGGCCTCCTTAACTCTCTCGAGGAGGTCACCATACATAGGGTCCTGCGCATACGCCTGTCTATCTTTCTCCTGCATGTCACTCCCTATATCCAGATAGTGCACTATGGCTCCAAAGTAGTCTGATCTCCTTCTCAGAGCGTCCACCACTACATTGTACTTGCCTTTGACAGACTTGAGCTCAAAGTCATACTGGTCTATCTCAGTGGCCCACCTAGTCAACTTAGGTGTCATTTTGGCCTGTGTCTTCAGCCATCTAAGCGTCTCGTGGTCTGAATACACATTGAAGTGCCTCCCAAGCAGGTAATGCTTCCAGTGCTCTAAGGCCTGCCTGAGAGCGTAGAGTTCTCTCTCGTACGTCGAGGTGGCTACCTTCTCTGAGGGCATCCTCGCTGACATGAACTCTACGGGTCTGTAGCCATTGTCATCGTCCTGCTGTAACATGGCGCCTATACAATACTGACTCGCATCCGTGGTGACGACAAATGGCAAGGACGGATCTGCTACTTTGAGGACATGGTACTCTATTAACACGCGCTTTAACTTCTTTAGCGCAGACGTACAATCTTTATCCCACTGCCAGATTGCCTCTTTCTTGAGCAACCTGCGAAGGGGAGTGGCGATAGTCGAGAAGTTCCTCTTGAACTTCCTATAGTTAGCTAGGCCTAAGAACGACCGCAACTCAGTTAACGTGCGGGGCGTCGACCAATCTCTAATCGTCTCTATCTTGCTGTCCTCATGCTTAATGCCATCTCCGTCTAAGACGTGGCCCAAGTACAAGACTTGTGTCTTGGCCCACTCACACTTCTTTGCGTTGATCTTAAAGTTAGCCTCTCTCAGCTTCCTTAGCTTCCAGCTCCCTTGCGAATGCTTCTTTCTCCTCCTGAGGCACGTACAGCATCACCTCCTCGTCCTCACCCACCGATAAGTTAGCCACCCACTCGCTAATCTTCTTCTCCATCCACTTGTCTTATGCCTTCGTGCCACTACTTTCTCCTCTCTCTCCCCCACGCCTCCTTCCGAGGGGTTCTTCTTCTACTTCCTCCTCCTCTGTTGCTGCTTCTTCTTCAGCAGCCCTCCTTTTCTCTTCTTCCTCCTGCTGTAGTCTTAACATCTCCAACTTTGTCTTCTTCGCTGCCTGCTCCTCGACCTTCAACTTTGCCTGTTTGAGGAGCTCCTTCTCCTTCTCCCTTCTCTCTCTCAGAATGGCAGCGAATTGCTCCTGCTGAGCCTGGGTGTAAGGGGTAGTACTCTTCCCACCACGTGCGTCAACCATGGTGTCAGGTCCACAACCGGGCAACGGTTCCACTCCTCACCACACGACTCTACCCCCTGTCTGACAAGACCTACTGACTCGATCTAAGGACTTACAGAATCCGGACAGGATCTCGTCAACTAGGGTCAAAGCCAGGACCTAAACTAAGGCTGTCACTACAGGACCTGTTGCTGATCAGGGGGCATTTAAGGAGATCCCCCGTAACTCCTCAGGAATTCATTAACGTCGCAGATAGGACGACGCGATCAGCAGGTCATCTCAAGACTTAGACGGTTTGTTGTGCAGGCCACAGCTTGGATTTTGGGCCTACCGTGCCACACCGAGCAGCCCGCCGGTTAGTACCGGTCCTTGGGAGGGTTTGTGTCCTCCGGGACAGTCGAGTCGTCAGACACAGTCTTTAGACCTACTCAGCCCGTGTGGGTTTGGTCAACAAGGCCCTATCCTTCATTCACAGAGTCCTATCACCTGGAGAGAAGAGACTCGATGCAGAAAAGAAGAGACAGACAAACTTGAATCAGCAAGTACCACAAGCTGTGTGGACATCCATAGGGCGAAGGGATAGGCTGAAGGCTTGGCGAGATTATACCGGCTCCAGCTTGGTCAAATTTGTGGCTAGCAGTCTTGGTCAAGGCCTTGGTCAACGCTGCAGTCAACCCCGGTTCGGCTATGGCGGCCAGCTTCCCCTTCATCGCCACCCTTCTCTTTCCCTATTTCTACCTCGCCTCCTTCTTCACCCCGTTTGTCTTTTTTTT